TCCATTGAACCATCATCTTCATCAAGTCTTCACAAATCTCAGATGCCATCAAAAGATGCTCGAAATTGGCATATGCCGGGCATTCCTACGTTGAATTCTGGTTATGTCAGAGCATCAATGTCGGGATTTGAAATTGTTAATTCTCCTCTAAGCTGTACTAAAGGGAATGACACACAGGCTGGTCCTTTCCAGTTCCAAGACAGGTGTACTTCTAAGGACTCTGATGCATTGGATTCAAGACCTTCCAAGGTGAGGAAGAAGTTGTTTGATCTTGAACTTCCAGCCGATGAGTACATTCATACAGAAGAAGGGGAACATTTACCAGACCACAAAGTATCCAGTGTGTTGAGTTATGTTTCTGTTGGAGATCAAATGATGGAACCTCGGAGCAGTATGAAATGTTCCTTTGGTGATTGTGGGATGACTGATTTCTATAGAGATGTTTCGGCTTCAGGTTCCTGTTTAAGGGGATCTGGTGGATTGGCTGATCTTAATGAACCCATTCAGATTGAAGAAGCAACAGCTCCATCATCTGTTGGTTTTGTTGGTCATACTTCCAGCCATGGAGACACTAGAGGTATAAATCAGTTTGCTAAGGGAAATGCACAAGTTTTAGGCGTCCCAGGAGAAACCATATATTCCCATAATGGATCATTGATAAATTCGTCTATCAAGAGTAATGGCAACGATAGGGGGTGGCTCTCCCATATGCATGAAGCAGGTAAAGAGTTTTGGTAAAGTTCCTTGAGTCTAAAATTTATTCATTACTTTCCTCCACTACTAATCTATCTCTGCTGCAAGTGTCAGTTAAATTTTATGGTTGTGTAGGATCAAATTCCTTTTCACATCTGTTTTTTCACGACAATCCCTTAGAGATTATTGAAATCCTAATTTTGTCCACACTATCTGTACACAACAACCACTTAGAGAGCATCTCTGCGTTCAAGTTTTGATGATTAAACACTGAGAACTGTGAGTACAGTGTAGATCAAATTCCTTTTCACATCGGTTTTTTCACGACAATCACTTAGAGATTGTTGAAATCCTAATTTTGTCCGCACTATCTGTACACATCATACACATCAACCACTTAAACAGCATCTCTGCGTTCAAGTTTTGATGATTAAGCACTGAGAACTGTGAGTACAGTGTAGTAACACCTCCCATTGATCTGACAGTTTTATGAACTTCCTGTCTTTCTACAGGGGCTGGTAAAAGTAACCCAAGTTGTGTAACTCAAGGTCTCCAACAAAATAAATTGCCAATACCTGGCCAGTCAGCTCAGGTCATGCCCAACCAGGTTTACCATCGTCCGGGAATATATCCACCTGGTTATAATAGGGAAAATCTATGGAGAGATGGACCTAACCGTGGTTTACAATCGTCCCATAAAAATCATAATCACTCCAGTAATAGCCACATAGAACCACTTGCGGCTTCTCATACCCGTGGGCCTTACCCGTCCATTAATCTCAACGGTGTTGCCAATTCATGGTTTCACTCCATCTCATCTTGGGCAAAGCCAACAAATAGCTTTAGTCAAAAGTTGACCACATTTCAACCATATTTTAGTTCAGCTGCAGGTTTGCATCCACATGCGCAGAGCCAGGAAACTTTTGGGGACAAGTGGCAAGTTAATGTTAGTTCTAGGTTGAATCCGAGATCTGGAAATGAATCAACAACTCGAAATGGGCTTCATCACGGGTCTGCCTCAGGATCCAAAGAACTGCAGGTTAACTTACCTTCGTCGGGCTTTGATTACCTTAACAGCAGTAGGTATAATAATATAGCATCTGACTGTTCGACTAATCCTGGATTCGAGAAGTTTCCAAGTGGCTCCAATCGTGTAGATTTAAAACCTGCAATAGATATTAACTTGAACGAGGTACTTCCGAAGACCTCATCAAGTGAGGTAGTTCCTCTACAAGATCTCATGAATGGAAAAATAAAGCCTGATGACCAACGGACGCCTTTGCCTTGGCTTAAACCCAATCTAGGATATAAAAATGAGGTTGCGGATACCAGGAGATCAGAACTCTCGGGGGATGTGGGCTGCCTCCAAGCTTCTTTCGGTTACAAGACTGAAGTAGTGAGTGATCTTAATCAAACTTTCATTCCGAATGTCATGTTGACTCCTAATGATCTTGAGATTGGGGCTAAAAAGGAAATAAGTGAGACTCGGAATATCAAGAAAATTCTCGGGTTTTCCATTTTTAAGCCTAATGCTCGAGTAATTGAGTCATCAGACTATGTTTCCACCTCGACAACTTTTGATTCCGCTCATGAAGGGAAAAAGGTCAAAGATGAAAGGAAAAACAGAATGATTGATATTAATCTTTCTTGCGAGTCTGATGAGCCAATTGCTGCAGAAGAACTGATTGTAAAGAAGGAAAAGTGTAGAGAACCTACAGGTACCAGACATCACATTGATCTGAACTGTTCTATTAGTGAGGATGAAGATCCACCATTGCCATCTATTGCAAGCAACAATCTCTGTGTGGAGATAATAATGGATATAGATCTGGAAGCCCCTATTATTCTGGACAATGAGGATGGTAATACACCGTCTGAAGAACATATGCAACATGAGGCCTCTTTACAGTCACTAGAACATAAGCCTGAAAAAATACAGGATGAGGTTCTTAGAAATGCTGCAGAAACAGTATTTTCTATCTCAACAAATTATCGCCAAATCCACATGGACTATGGTATTTTCCATCCATCTGAGACTTCCTTTTCGGAATCGCTCATCTGGTTTGTCAATGTCGTGTCATCACATGCAGATGAACTTGATAGTAAATCTGGCAAAGAATCAAGAGTTGGTGATCCTGCACCTTGTGATGATCTTTGTGAGGAGATAGACGAGTTTGAAGCTATGACATTGCAACTAGCAGAGACAAAAGAAGACTACATGCCTAAACCCTTTGTTCCTGAAGTAGAAAAAGTGGAAGAAATGGGTGCTGGGTCAAATAGAACTCGAAGGGGTCAGACAAGGAGAGGAAGGCAGCGGAGGGACTTTCAAAGGGACATCCTTCCTGGTTTGACCTCACTCTCAAGGCATGAAGTGACTGAGGACCTCCAGACATTTGGAGGGTTGATGAGAGCCACAGGCCATTCTTGGAATTCAGGCTTGACAAGAAGGAATGGCACAAGATATGGGGGTGCTCGGGTAAGGCGCCGTACAGTGATTGAATCTTCCCCTACTGCTATTTCAACCCCAGTTAGCGTTCCATTGATACAGCAATTTAGTAATATTGAAGCTCGTTTTGAGGAAGGAAGCCTTACAGGCTGGGGGAAAACAACTAGGCGGCCCCGGAGACAAAGATGCCCTGCGGGTAATCTTCCAACTGTTGCATTAACTTAATAATGCAAAGAGGCATTCGTTTCTTGTTTCGGGATTTATAGAGGGAAGTAAGACTTGAGGGAGCTTGCTTTGTGACTTTTTGAGATTCTGGCTGCTGGTATCTACTCGTCATTGTAAATCTCGTTGTGATTTTGTCTTTGGCTTACCAACTTGTATTAGTGAGAAATAATGTCTGATTTCTTGTGGATATATACAACATTGCTTCGAATTTGTTCACTTTTCTTCTTCAAATGCTATATTTGCATTTTTTCCCCCTCTTACAAGGTCTGGTGGTGCAAGAATGTGTTCCATGAGATTCGACTCAGCTACATAGCAATTCATTGGATTAGAACTTTTGAGATAGTAAGGTTATATCAGCTGGAAGTACTCAATCAATTGGTGTCTTTGTGGCTAGGTTGACACGTCAAGGAAATGGTCCAAACCTTTGTGAGCTTATTGCCACATTTCTTAACACTCATCGTACATAATTCTTGTGAATTTAGGGTGTGATTGATAGGAGTGGAATTCCAACTTTTCAATTTTTGGGTGTTTGATTGGGAAAAATTTTCAAGGAATTCATTTTCCACATTTTGGTGCCACATAGACTTTCTCATTCTTTTGGAGGAAAATGAATTCTCACCAATGAGAATTCATTTTTCGGTTTACTGTAGCAACTTTTTTTTTCGTTTATTATTATTATTATTATTTTTTTGTTGGCAATGGAAACAAATTTTAAGAATCATTGTAAAAAAATATTTTCATTTAATTGATAATTTTCATGTAAAACAAAGTCAAACGAATACCAAAAAATAGATAATTTTCTTGAATTATTTATTTATTTATTATTATTATTTTTGCAATGGAAACAAATTTAATTTTCAATACCAGTAAAATATATTTCTTTAATTGATAATTTTCATATAAAACAAAGCAAAACCAATATCAAAAAACATTTTTATTTTAACATTTTTCATGTAAAAAATTATACCAATTAAGCACAATAATTTATAATTTTCAGAAAAACAATTTCTAGACAATTCAATTCTCTGAAATTCGTTTTCTTTCGATCCAAATTTTATCTTTGCAATCAAACGGACCCTTAGTGTTATGAACGTGTAGATTCAAAGTGGCTATTTGATTTTGTACAAGAAGTTAGAAGAGAGATATAGACTAAAACTAACAGAGTCAACTATAATTGCTTTAGATCTCTTAGCATCTCAATCTATGAACTAAACGATGTGGCAAAAAATGATGCTTGCAATCGTTTCCGAGGATCAGTGATTAAAGTGTTTTGAATAATATTTTTTTTTGAAAAACGTATGGTTAAAAAATAAAAAAACTTTATTGATTTTTATGTTGAATATTTTATTGTGTGAATGTGCGGTGGAGAGTGATACTGTAACAAAACAATTTAAAATTTTAAAGAAGACCAAACATGCACTAAATATTATAAAATTACACCATGTTAAAGGTTAGGCTCCCTAGATAAATGCTGAAGTATTAAGAATGAACAATTGTAATATGTTTATGTTAAATTGAACAAGATAAGCGACAATTTTTCTCACGCGTCTTCTTTTGAGCTTGATACTTTCTTATCATCAAATAATATTATTTACTTAACTTTTGAAATTGAAGAAAAAAATCCTTTTTGAGTTCGTAAAGTTCAATTGTACTATTTCCTTAATTTCAGAACCCATGTACATAGATGTCAAGAATTATAATGACTGGGCCTTGTACTACAAGGGGCCCTGTACACCAAACATGATTCAGATGTCAATAGGTACAATATGATTGAATTGGATACTCCAAGAAAGTAAGAAAAAAATTATACATTATTGAGGCATGCTAGTTAACAAAATGGCCATGGTTACACAAGACAAACGTATGTTCTTCTTTCATCACGTTCCTTTATCAATCTAGCGTACCAAACACGTTAGCAATATTCAACATCTCAGTATTGTCAAACGTCATGAATTCACCACTGTACAATAGACCAGAGATTCAGGTTTGTTCCCAAAAAACCCACACAAACACTATGATGTCTTATCAACCTCAATCAAACTATACCCATGGACCTTTTTAAGACCTATGCTTCTAATCTTTGATCTAACTGTCCTGAATTCATTCCATTCTCCTCCTCCTGCATATACATTAGATAACAGTGTATAATATCCAGAATCATTTGTATCTTTATTTACAAGGTCTCCTTGGATGCTTTTTAGAAAGTCCATTCTCTGATGGATCCTACATCCATTAACCAATGCACCCCAAATGCTAGCATCTGCAGGAAATGGCATTGAATTTATGACTTCATACGCTCCATTTAGATAACCTGCTCGACTCAGCATATCGACCAAACATGCATAATGCTCAGAATTGGGCTTGACATCGAAGTCCTTGATCATCGAATTAAAGTAAAACTTCCCTTCTTCAACATATCCAGCGTGACTGCAAGCCGATAGAATATTCATGAATATAACATCGTTTGGCCTTATTCCCGATGTTACCATTTTGTTAAAGAGTGAGGTAGCAGCATCAATGTGACCATGCATCCCATAACCTGCTATCATAACACTCCATGAAACTGTACTTCGTTCTGTCATGCTATTGAAAACTCTTTGAGCCGTCTGAAGGTCACCACATCTAGCATACATGTCAGATAGAGCTGTATCCATATACATATCTTGTGTTACACCGAAAGTAATCAGCTTATTGTGAATCCATTTCCCTTTCTCTATGTATCCTAGATTCGAGCAAGCTTGAATTGCACTTAAAAATGTTACTTCGTCCACTTCAAGACATTTGGCATATATTTCGTCAAAAAGACTAATAGCTTCTTCTGAGTAGCCATTTTGAGAAAATCCACACATCATAGAATTCCATGCTACAACGCTTTCTTGTTGGGCGGCAAGAAATACCCGATAGGCTGAATCCACATATCCGCATTTAGAGTACATGTCAATTAGGGCATTTTGGACAAACTCGTTCAAAAGGCATGTCTTGATAGCACAACCATGTACTTGACATCCAAATTTAGAAAACCCAGTATCTCCACAGGCTGATAGAACACTTGCCAAAGCAAACGAATCAGGCAATATCCCTTTAATAAACATTTGAACAAAAAGTGTGAAAGCCTCATTGGTCATTTGTTCACGAACATAACCTGATATGAGAATATTCCATGATACAATATGCCTGTCTTTAGTCATATCAAAGACCTCGTGGGCATAATTTAGCTTTCCACAATTAGCATACATATCTATTAATTGTGACCTGAGAAAATCTCTGTCAAGGTCAATATTGTTCCTAATAACATATCCATGAATAGACTTCCCTTCTCTAAGCCATCCCAACCTAGCACAAGAAGAAACAACATTCATCAACGTAACGGTATTCATATCTACATTACTCTCTTGCATCTCAATAAATGTTGCTACCGCCTCTTCAAAGCATCCATTTTGATTATAGCATGAAATAATTGCTGTCCATAAAGACATACTCTCGCAAATACGGCCGTAAAACAACAGTTCTGCACTACGCAAATCACCAAATTTTCCATACATAGCAACAAGTGAACTTCCCAATGCCCCATGATAATTTTCATTATTCCTTCTAACCACATAACCATGAACTGACTTTCCAGCTCTCCATAACCTCAACTCACCGCAAGCCTCAGATATACTAAACATAGTCACTGAATCAATTTCCATACCTTCTGTTGTCATTTTCCTGAAAATTTTCAACCCTTCACTGGCCTCCCCATTCCGAACATAGATAGATATTATAGAACTCCAAGAAACCATATCTCTCACTGACATTTCATCAAATATTTTCCTAGCATTATATAAACACCCTATTTCACCATACATGCTCAGCAACGAAGTCTCAACAAAGGGATCAGACTCAATCCCAGATTTTATAATCCTACAATGGACCTTTTTCCCCATGCCTAGATCATTAATTGCAGAGCAGGCCCTCAAAATCGATGGCAAAATGAAGCTATTAAATTGGATCATATTATACACAATATTTTGGTACATAAAAATGGCTTCTTGAAACAGGCCATTCCACACACAGCACTTGATCAGAACACCCCACATGAAGGAATCTGGATTTAGGAAATTGTCAAATATTAGTTTTGAGGATTTGATGTAGCCCATTTGAGAGTAGGACTCAATTAGCTTAGTTGATGCAAGGGGGTTCCTTTGTAGGCCAGTGACTATGAGATGTGCGTGGAGTTGAAAGAGTGTTCTTGAGGTTCTGCAGGCTCTGAACAGTGGCATGTAAAGTGTCATTTTCGGCTTGATTTCCGAGGTACATCAAGAATCCAAAATTTTACTGGGATTTCTACAAGAAAGTGGAATCAAGGGAAGAATTTCCAAGGTGGACGCGAAGAAGAGTTTCTTGAGCCTTGAATTGCAGGGAAAGCAGTTGCGATGCAAAATATGCTTCAATTTTGATGTTGCGTGCAGGCGGGAGCGCTGGCTGTTGATGTCATGCTTGGCAAAGCATAAATTTTAGTGGAAATTTCAGATTTTGTCCCTAGCTTCTTATCTTGGATCATACACAATCTTTTACACACTACTCACAACATAAAGTGGGGACTACAGCTCGAATTATTTAATAAAAGGTGGGACCCGCATATTTGTAAGGGGGTGTAAACCATTTGGTAACCCCCTTGTATCTACATACATCTTTATCCTTCTACCTTCTTCCTCCATTTTTTTTTCCTTCGTATTATTTACAAACTCAAGTAGTTAAACCTCTTTGGTTATCTTGAATTTGTGGTTCTCTTTTGAAATATAATTTTTCATTTTTTTATTCAGATGGAGTGAGTTCAATATATGGATTTTAATTTCTTATACTTTATAGTTACATATCTAATTCGTATTTTTTTATGTCAATTCATTTTAAGAGTGGGAGGCTTTAAACATTGTTCATAATTAAATTATATAGTCTAGCATGCATCAATAGTTCACTTAAGGATCGAATAAAATTTATTAAGAAAGATTATTATTATTTTTTAATTTTCAAAATTGTAATTTAATTTTTGATGTTTTAATTTTATCCTCTTTTCGTGATTTTTAGTCTCCAGAATTTTGCGTCTTGAAAATTTCTTAACCAAATTTTCTCCCTTGCACAAATATTGTCGAGTAGTATCGTGTTAGGTGTATGTACTGAATAGCGTATATGAAAATATTTATTAAATATAGTAAAAAATATTATGGGTATAATCGAATCGGAATCGAAATCGAAATCGGAACCAAGGTTGACAGTTTGGGTTTGAAATAGGTTCTAATAATTACAAGGACTTGAATAGCTTCATTTATGAAATACCAAAAGTATAATGGATAGTTTTGGGTATTGAAATACTCGGACCGACTCATCCAATGCCCAATCTTACTCGCGTCAATGGTTCTAGATAGTATTACTCACAATTAAATGAATTACACAATTTCGAGCTTATCAGATAATACTATATGGAATGGTCCTCTTGCATCACGAGTGCTAGATAAATAGTGGTGCCCCGTTTGATCAATGAAACGATGATGTGGCATTTGGCACAATTTAAAATGGATGTATTTGAACCTTTTATTTTATTTTATTTTTTTAAGCTAAGAGCACATATGTTGCCCTTGCACTTATAATTAATTTTGTTTACTTAGCCTCTGCTTGTCTTACTTTGTAGAGAATTTTTTTGGGGAATAATTTTTTGAATAGTGATTTTTTAGAGAATGTGTGATTGAAAGTATAGAAAAAAATTGAATTTATGTACAAAATATTTTATTGTGTGCATGTATGGTTGAAAATGAGTTTTAAAAAAAAAAAAAGAGTTTTGAGAAAAAAAAAAGGAGACAAACAATGGCTTATGCATAAGTTTTTCAATCGAACATGAATTTTTACTTATAATTGATTTTTTTTTCCCTTGCCAATAAATTTGTAGTTAGAAGTCATTTTTTTTACTAATAAGTGGAATTCTTGGTTATTATTTACTTGTAAGTAAATTTATGCAATTTAACTAATTTTTTCTTAATTCATAAATTGATAAACAAAAACTACGACCTTAAGTTCACCACGAATAGCGTATTAATTTTAATAACATTGATAAAGAAGGATAGGCCCTCCAAATTAATTTAATTCGAATACTTATTACACCAATTACCCAATAAGGACTGGATGGAAATATTTTAATACTTATTCGACTTATATGATTCGTCAAAAATGCCGTGTTAACAAGATTATAAATAATAAAGAGAAGTTCTTTTGTGGTAAAAATATTGATTTGTACGTTAAATAGTTATTAATAATATAGCTTTTCTTGCAAGCTTTAAGCTTTGGCTGCGCATTCATCAAATATTATAATTTGCAACTGTGACCACATATTTGGAATGATTTTTCAGAAAATGGTACAATATTCTCATGGCAAAATGACCATATGGACAATTAATTTGAAAAGTGCAGACTCTCCTAATTTACTACTCCCTCCGTCACATTTATATAAACTTGTTTTGTTTTTCATACGGATTAAGAAATCTTATTTAATGTTATTGGTGGGTCGATGTGGGTCGGGTTATGGGTCGAGTAGGTGCGGTCAAGTTGGATCGGGTTATGGGAAACCTGATAGAACCCGACCCGATAAAAAAAAATGAATGCGGGGGAATGAAAAAATAAAAGAAGCCCTAAACTAAGTCCTCTCAACTCTCACACTCTCGGTCTCTCAATCTTCACTCCGACCCAACCCGTCGAGAATGAGCCCGTCCGTTTTTCTCGTCGTTTTCAAGTTGTCGTTTGCCGACCACACTCTGGAGCCCAGTGCCGTTTGCCAACCACACTCTCAATCTTCACAGAATTCTTCACTCCGACCCAACCCACCGACAATGAGCTTGTCCGTTTCTCTCTTCGTTTCCCAATTGCCGTTTGCCGACCATACTCCAGAGTCCAGTGCTATAGAGTAAGTTTATTTCCTTATTTTCTCACTTCCCCAAGTCTCCCCTCTTCCTAAATCCTAACACTTGTATTATTACATAAATTGATATCAAGATCATTGAGTGTCTCGATTCTATTGGACGAGCAAATACTAACTATTGATACAATTTGAGATAAAAAGTTGTACATATGAGCTACTGTCGAAAAGGTTGAAGAGGTAAAGTCTTGTATTTATCGCAACGTGTTTAAAGAAATTAGGAAAATGATTGTACTTTCTGCTGTCCATATTATTGTATCTTTTGCTTTGAGATATAATCTATATTTCAACTAAATTTGATGCTGCTAGATGATAAATAATATTAGTACAAAGTGAAGGATACTCCATTTGAGGCATATTTCGCATCTAAGTTAGGCAATAAACATGATGAAATGACACAGGTTGTGTTGCTATTATACACTCTTAAACTGTTTGAATGCTCATCAGCAACTAAATGACTTCATTTTCGCATCAAATTTGTTCTGCGTCTTGTTGAGGGTTGCATTTTTATATTGATGGTTTCTTATGGAGAAGACTGTGATAAGTTGATAGCAGATGAAAAACTTTGTCAAATCTTATGACATGTATACTTGTACACATTTCATTGAGACATAATCAAGCAACAATGCGGTCAATCAGATTTTGCGTATGGTCTGTTGTAGCTGGCTCTAAATTTATTTAAAACAAGGCTATGTTGTTGTTATTTATTTTGCTAAAGAATATTGCATTTTAGGTATATTTGCATATCTAAATTAGACAATTAACTTAATGAAATGGTACAAGATTGTGTGTATATTCTTGAACTGTTTGAATGGTGATCAACTATAAAATGGTTAACTAATAGCTTCAAATCAGAAGCCATATTTAGGATGTCAAACAACCTGCAGGAATTTGTAAAAACCCTATTTCATTTTATTTCATTTCAAACTCCTAAATAAATCGGCATCAAGATATGTATAAGATCCATTTGTAAAAACCCTATTTCATATCTCATATCATTAAGTTACATAATTAAGCCACAGGAAAAAGACCTATACTTAATTGCACTCTGTAAATAAATTCAATAAAATAAAGAAATCTCATTTACATATATATTGAATAACTTTTAATATTATTTAATCAAATTTTAATAAACGATCGGGCTATTATGGTTGTTCATTGTCGACGATCAATGGATAATGGTCAACCTCCGTCCTAACTGGACTTTGGTGTTGGATTCACCACTGAGAAGGTTATAAGGTTTTAGAACTACCGATTCTCTATTTCTGCTTCAATAACATGAACTAGTTTAAAATGTTTTGGTATTAACTGAGGTCTGTTTTAATTTTAACAATTAAACAGCCTAGTTTAGATTTGGTATTTTATCAAACCATTATATTGTAAAAATCATTTTTCTTTTACTGCATTATAAATAAGAATGCTATATTTGATTTCGTTTGTACGTTCTCATACTATTTGTTAAAGTATTATTTTCATTTGTTTTAATTTGTAGATGAGTATGACACACCGATATAAAATTTCGGAAGAAGAACGTGTTCCGACCCATGTGTCATAGGTGAGCAACACAAAATACATATCAGTTGTCCTCGACAAATTGGATCCTAAACAAAAGCGTCAATTGGAGGAGAGTTGTATAGGACATGTTGCAAGGTTACCGGAGTTGAAACTATCCGCTCAATTAATTCATGAAATGGTAAACAGATCGGTGGTCTGCCGAAAGCGGCTTGAGGCTTGGTTCAAGGTGAACCAAAGGTTTGCACGATTTGAACTGTCGAAGTTCGCACTAATTACTGGCTTGAAGTGCGGTCCAGTGCCTAAAGGTACCGAAGTTGACAAAATCCTAGAGAAAACTCATCTACAGGATAAAATGTTTGCTAATATGGACCGGATAATGTGTAGTGACCTGGAGAAAGTTTTTTTGAAATATGCCAACCGTAACGATCGTTACAAGCTTGGGTTGACACTAATTATTGAAGGGATATTTAATTCAAGAGATCGAAATGTAGGAATACATTCGACAACTCTTTCCATCGTTGACGACTTGGGTTTTTTCAATGCCTACCCATGGGAGACGGTATGTTTTCAACTTCTCATCAAATCACTGCTACGTAGATGAGGAAGAAAGGCGGACATGACAAAAGTGAATGATTGTGATAGGATGACTTACAAGTTGTACAGATTCCCTCTTGCTGTCCAGGTATACATCTATTTTGGTTCATTCCAGTTCTTTTCATTGCACATTGGTATTTACCTCCAAATATGATTATTACTGTTATAAATGTCATTCAAATTTGGGCGTACAAGACAATCTTGGAGTTGGGAGCTCGATTCTCGAGTAAGACTTGTGACGATGTCCCATGGATGTTGCGGTGGTCTGGCACGAAACAACATCATTCTCGAACATATTGAGATTTTTTTGAGAAGACAGATGTAACCGATTTACATACGTAATTGCCTTACACTTTCGCAATATATAATATTTCATTTCGCCTATTTTTCTTTCTCCTGTAGGTGCACTTGTGGGCAAAGCTG